TGAACAAGGATAGAGCTATCATTTCTTCAGAATGTTTTAGTTCATATATTTAGGTAGTTCATCATCATAAGATGGTGATAATACAAATTCACCTCCCCTACTTTAATGCATAAGGATCCCTCTTGAGTATTAGATATTCTAATAGTGGAAAACAAAGTGTGGGCCAGGTAAGCTCAGCAACTTTGTTATCGTTCAAAACACTCCCCAGCTCATTAGATAGTGAATTGTAACCTACCTTTAGTTCTCGCTTTCTACTCCTGTCACTGCTAGACTTGGAATGCCTAGAGCTTCGGCCTTCCTCCACAGCCTCAAACAATTTGTCCACAAATCGAAGAGTAGAATCATCGAGAAAGGGTTTCAGATGGTCTGACAGGAAAAAGGAGGTGGTAGGATTAAAAAGGTAATAGTATATAGTCTAATAATACTAAGCATATAACAGATAGCAACACAAGAATTTTATGCCCAGAAATCTTTTTCAAGTTCTTTGTAGGATTCCCATAAATTTTCCTACATCGAATGACTCTGCCCTAGGAAGAAAAAACAGAGTTATAATTTTTTAGGGTAGGAAACAATATATGAACAACCTGTTGAGGCAGAGCATCAAAGTTTAGGATAAAAATCACCCTAAATTTTACCAAATAGCAAGCTGTAGAAGATTACCAGTAACAGTATCTACCTTCCTCAACTTTTTCTTTGATTTTATAAAGACTTCCGCATATTGGATGTCAATCTGAATATGTTACATACCTAGCTGCCTTTAGTATTTATCCTAAGTAAAGTTAACTTAGATGACTTAGTATGGTGGCCACAGGGAATCATTCTGAGATACAAAATATGCACAAATAACATAAGAAATGAATAGTAAGAGAAAAAACAAAATTGGTTAATAAGGTACATACCAGCTGCCTTCTTCTTGTCCATGCCCTTCCCCACACAGTTCAGTGCTGCTGTGACCACTGTAGGCTCTGAGAAACCCAGAACCCTCTTCACTGTCTTCTCTATCCATGGTTTCAGTTCATCCAGCTCCCTCTTAGACAGTGCCATTGTTTGGGAAAGGGAAGAACTCAATACTACACCTAAAAAGAAACCAGAGAAAAGTTAAGTTAGAGAAAAGGAAAATAATATAATACAATGACTCACAACAGGTTAGAACATCAGAAATATCCTCCTTGCCCCTTTCTCAATCCCTAGCCAAATCCCTTCACTTTTTTTTTTTTTTTGGACAGGCAGTTAGACAGTGAGAGAGAGACAGAGAGAAAGGTCTTCCTTCCGTTGGTTCACCCCCCAAAGCGGCCGCTATGGCCGGCGCGTTGTAGCCGGCGTGCTGTGCCGATCCGAAGCCAGGAGCCAGGTGCTTCCTCCTGGTCTCCCACGTGGGTGCAGGGCCCAAGCACCTGGGCCATCCTCCACTGCCTTCACGGGCCACAGCAGAGAGCTGGACTGGAAGAGGAGCAATCAGGACAGAATCCGGTGCCCCAACTGGGACTAGAACCCAGGGTGCTGGCGCGGCAGGCGGAGGATTAGCCTAGTGAGCCACGGCGCCGGCCCCCCTTCACATCTTTAAAAGGCAAATACTTTCTCCAAGAACCATCCTCATACTTTAAAGCAGAAACAAATACATTCCATTTGATTTTTAACCCTAACTCAGTAGTTATCAAAGGATCAATGAGGGCTGGTGTTGTGGTTAAGCCTCCACCTGTGACACTGGCATCCCATATAGTCGCTGGTTCGAGACCTGGCTGCTGCACTTCCAATCCCACTCCCTGCTAATGGGTCTGGGAAAGTAGCAGAGGATGGCCCAAGTGCTTGGGCCCCTTCACCAACATGGGAGACCCAGAAGAAGCTCCTGGCTCCTGGCTTCAGCCTGGCCCAGCCTGGCCCACCCCAGCCATTGTGGCCATTTGGGAAGTGAACCAGTGGATGGAAGATCTCTTTCTCTCTCTTTCTCCTTTTCTCTCTCTCTGCCTTTCAAATAAATAAAAAAAATGAATCTTAGAAAAAAAAAATCAATGAAACCTGTGGAATAAACAAACTCTAAAAATTACTTCTAGCTTCCTTTTGAGCAAATCAATAAAGACTGGCATATAACATTAAAACAAGACTAGGGTAGGGGCAGGAGTTTGGTGTGGTGGCTTGGGACACCCATGTGTTCGTCAAGTCCCAGCTCTACTTCCAATCCCAGGGGATGATGGCTCAAGGATTTGGGTCCCTGTCATCCACATGAGACCTCAATTGAGTTTTAGGCTCCTGGCTTTGGCCTGGCCCAGCCCCAGCTACAGTGGGCATTTTGGAAATGAACTAGCAAATGGACGATCTCTGTCTCTATGGTTTTTTTTCTGCCTTTCAAATAAAAATAAATAAATGAATTTAAAACAAGACTAAAGGGCAGGTGTTTGCTGTAGTAGGTAAGACCCTGCTTGCAGGGCAGGTATTGTGTGCTACAGCAGGTTAAGTCACTGCTTGAGACATCTGCATCCTGTATCAGAGCACCAGTTTGAGTCCCAAATACTCCCCTTCCAATAACAGCCCTTTGCAACATGCCTGGAAAGCAGCAGATGATGGCTCAAGTGCTTGAGTTCTTGCCACCCACATGAGAGACCTGGATGAAGTTCTTGGCTCCTGGATTCAGTGGTGGCCCAGCCCCAGCCCCTGCTTTTGTGACATTTAGGGAGTGAACGAGTGGATTCAGAAGATCTTTCTGTCAGTCTGCCTTTCAAATAAATAAATGAATCTCTAAAGAAAGAAAGAAAAAGAAAAGACCAGCTTGGAATGCCTGGGTTTGAGTCCTGGCTCCACTCTTCATTCCAGCTTCCTGATAACTGCACATTTTGGTAGGTTGCAGGTGATGGCTTGAGTACTTGAACCCCTACCATGCACTTGAGTCCATTCTCCAAATGCCCACAATAGTCAGGACTGGACCACACCAAAGCCAGGGGCCAGGAGCTCTATCCAAGGTGCCCACACGGGTCTCAAAGACCCAAGTACTTGAGCCATCATCTACTGCCTCCCAAGATACGCAACAGCAAGGTGGACTGGAAGCAGGGGCGAGACTCAAACACAGGCACTCCAGTATGGCACACACATGTCTCAAGCGGCAGCTTAAGCTACTGCAGGACAGCACAGTGCAAATTCTCCATTGCATTCTACAGGATCTCTGTGAGAAGTCGTGATGAAAGTACTCTCTCAGCTTGGGAAAAAAAAATGCCCTCACTTTAGATGTTCTCTTCTCAATCCCTTTTTACCTGTACCCTACTTTTTAATTCATCACAGAAAATAGTATTATAAAGGACTCTCCCACACAAATCTTTGTATTCAATGCAAGTTAGTATAAAATGTCACCATTAATCATGTCTATATTTTAATCTAATCCCTAACTCTCCAAATTCCTCAGGAGCACAAAGATTTTATTTCTAATGTTCTTCACAGTGCCTAACAGATGGTCAATAAATGGTACAGACCCCTACTCCCAAGCTAATCCCATCATTCACAAGCCCTTGGGCAAATTAATTCCCATAAGCCCCTGTTTACTCAAATACTAAGTGTCAAGCAATGTAGAAGGTGCTGATACAAACAGCAGAGAACAAAATACAATCACCCTGGCTGTAACAAGGGCCTACATTCCACGAAAACTCCATCACAGGCCAGAAAGAGTAAGCAATTTGAAAACCAAAGCAATAAACGGAAGAATCTTTATTTTCAGATGAAATGTGTGCCCAAGCGCTGTACTAACAAAAGTGTATTCAAGTTCAACCTAATTCCCTCTGAGATGTTAAAAAAAAAAAAAAGTTTCCAACAGCAGCCTTTGCTACTGACCCAATGCTCCATAATAACGGCTGGTGGGAGTGGGGGCGGGGAGAGCTGGCGTGCAGAAAGGGAGGCAGGCAGAATGACTGCTCAATGAGCAGGCAGCAGAATCCAATCTTCTTAAAGGATTCCCTACTCTACGCTCTCCTTTGCTGCAACCCGAGTGCTCCCAGGAGCCCCCCTCCTCCTGTTTTTACTCTCGCTCTCTCTCTCACCGGCCTCCTCCCTCACCTTGTTCTGTCCAAACTCCTCACCCCAGAGCTGCTCTCCCCAGCCTGTCCCCGTCCCGCCCCCGCCCTTTTCCTCTCAACAATCTCATTCCAATCCGTTCTCTCCCGAACCGTGTGCTTCTCTCAGCATCCTTCCCGCTGGACCCTTCACCCTGTTCCTCCCCTCGGACTCAGCCCCGGCCCCAGCCGCTCCGACGGGAAGACACCCTCCCCGGGCCCGGGGCCACTACTCACCTCACAAACTTCAGCCCCTGAGACGGAGCCCGAACGTTACACCGGAACCGGAAACCTTCTGACCGCCCTACGGCCTGCCGTCGCTACCGCCACGGCCGCCGCCACGCTGCGGTCCCCTGACACGTGACCAGGGAGGGGGCGGGCCGTCGATTTGCGCAGCCGCAGTTGCCGCTCTGGCGACAGCGGAGCGCATGCGTGGCACAGCCCTAAGGTTTCCCCGTCAAAGTTGCTGCTGGCCTTCGGTTTCTACAGGGAAAAAAGATTACGAAGTTGGCGTAACTTTAGGTAGTTTTCAGTTTAAAAAAAAAACGCAAACAAAACAATTTTTAGTTTTCTTCGTGTGGCGGATAAACGCTCTAAAGTTACAGGACTAAAAGGAGGACTTGTTTGTGCGTGCTGAAACGTGGCCTTTCTGGTAGAAAGTAAACCCTCTCGGAGTCCTGATCATCAGCTTTAGTCGCCCCCCAGCCTTTTCTAAGTTAACAGTGGGACCGGAGGTCATTCAGGAACAAGACAAGGGTAGGAAGACTCAAGCAAGTAGCTTCTAATACCTTTTTATTGTTAGATTCATTCATTGACGGAACAAATCTTTATCAACTGCCTACTAATGTGTGCTGGCCACTTGAGAGTATTGCTTTAGTGATTGTCGCGAATGCCTGCTGTCACGCAGCTCGACAGGGCTTAAGGGCGAGGTGTCGGAGCACAGGGAGGGAGGAACACATGGACACAAGATTGTCTTTCCAATGAAAGGTTTTTATTGCCCACACAATTTCACACTAGGGCTTGACCACTCTGCATACCAATCTACATTGTTATATTCAGTACTCCACAGATCATAACACACACCTAGCAGTCTCAAAGGCAATCCAACTATAATAATATAAGCACATAACATTATTCTTAATCACAGGGTCAAGGCACATGCCTTCATATTACACACGGCTAATATCATTATAAGTGCTGCGTCCTCAAGGGTCGTATCACGGTCACCAAAAGTCAAAGTCCAAAGTCCAGAGTCCAAAGTCTTCGTTACCACTCGGAGAGATGGATCTCAGGACAGTCAGTTACAGGCAGGAAGTTTGGGGATGGCTGTCACTCTGGGCAGTAGGTTCAGAGGGCAAGGCAAGGAGTTGGAGAGGTCCCCTGCTGAGAGGTCTGGTGTTGGTCTGGCAGCAGGCCAATAACGGGTCCAGGTGAGGCGGCCAGGCAGCGGCTCCGCTGGAGTTTGGTCCCGTAATCGCCTTGTGTCACTTAGCAAGGGTGCTAGCAAGCTGGCTCTTCAGCTCCAGATGTGTGGAGATCCAGAGGTTCACACACATCGGGCCATGATCCTCGAGAGCGGTGGAAAAGGCTCTCCTTTATCCTTGCCACTCTGAAGGGGGAGTCTCCAGTAGGGGTCCGGGTGTCACCAATCAGTTGTGCTCCCTCTTGGAGTTTCCAGGGGTGCCACCCATCCGTTGTTGGGGACAGGGCGTATCTGGAGTATTCCTTGGGTGCGGTCACTCACAATGTGAGTAGGAAGGAAACTTGAGGTTATCGTCCGTAGCACTCGTTATCAGGCTGCCCAGGGATGTCTGTTCAGTCTGATGAGGAGCATCTTTCTGGCAAGCCCTGAGCTTGACATAAGTGATGTCATCATTTTCTGGCTTAGCATAAGTAACTCCATTTTTATTTCTTGCTTTTACTTCTTTGTGGACAGCAGTGAGCTATAACCATAACTCTTTTTAGGGGTTACCAGTGGATTTCTCCATGGTCCACCTCCTTTTGATCAATGGGTAAGCGGTGATCTGTGATTTTTGGGACTCCTGTGGGATTCCCCACAGTGATTAAGAGAACAGACTTTAAAATCCACCTGGATTTGTAGTCCAAATCTACTCAATGGTTGTGAGACATTAGGGGACTTAATATTTCCTCATCTATAAAATGGGATCTGTTATCAAAAAAAAAAATTGACCTCATAGGGCTGCTGAAAGGACGAGGGTAAATGAAGGTAATGCTCTTAAAGCTGCCCACAGAGGCGTACCGCTAAAAACACAGTATTTATAAGATCTGATGCATAGTAGTTTATCTAATTGTCCACATAAATGTACACAGACGTGTCAAAGTTAATGAAAACTAAGCTCCTGGGACAGGCCTTGACCTGGTGGTTAAGATTCCCACATCCCACACTGGAGTATGTGGTATCAATTCCTGGCTGACGCCAGCTGCCTCCCAGATGAAGGCCCTGGGAGGCAGTGGTAATGGCTCGACTAATTTTGTGGCTGTCACCCACTTGGGAAACCTGTATTGAGCTCTGGGCTCCCATTTTCAGCTCTGGCCCAGGCCTGGGCCCAGCCACTGCGGGCATTTGAGGGGTGAACCAGTGGATAGAAGTGCATGCTTGCTTTCTGTCACCCTGCCAGAGTTTTTAAGGCATTAAGCCGTATTTAAGACATCACTTGGTACATAATAATACTTAATAAATCATTGCTATTATCATATAGCTCTTTTTTTTAAAAAAGATTATTTATTTATTTGAAAGGCAGACATACACAGAGAGAAAGAGAGAGAGAGAGATCTTTTATTTGCTGGTTCACTCCCCAAATGGCTGCAATGAGCGGGGCTGGGCCAGGTGGAAGCCAGGAAACTGGGGCTTCTTCCAGGCCTACCATGTGGGTGCAGAGACCCAAGCACTTGGGCCATCTGCTGCTGCTTTTCTAGGCACATTAGCAGGGAGCTGGATTGGAATAGAGCATCTGGGACTCAGACTCGAACTGGAGCCCATATGGGATGCCAGCTCTGCAGGTAGAGTCTTAACCTTCTACATCACAGTGCCAGCCCCTGTCATATATGTCTTCAAGTAATATTTACTAAGCATTTAAATGCTGGGCATTATACTAGACCCTGGTGTTAAAAAAAAAAAAAAGATTCCATCTCAGGTACCTGAAAGTGTAATGGAGGATAGATAAATAGGCAATAAAATTGATCCAGTTCCCTGCTATTGTGCCTGGGAAAGCAGAGGAAGATGGCCCGAGTGCTTAGGCCCCTGCCACCCATGTGGGAGACCTGGATAGAGTTCCTGGCTCCTGGCTTTGGCCTGGCCCTGCCCCTGTCCTCATGACCATTTGGGAAGTGAACCAGCAGATGGGAGATCTCTCTCTCTCCTTCTCTTTCTCTAATTCTGGCTTTCAAATAAACAAAAAAATTCCCAACTGGGAACTGCTATACAGGTGTAGAGAAGGAGAAAGCATGTGTTGTGATCTAAGGTGAGTTTGAAGGGATAAACAGGTAGAGAGAAAGGTAGGATTCAGGTACAAGGGACTTTGGTTACTATGCCTAGTGGCGTGAGCACAATGGGAATCAATTACCAGTTTAAGCAGGAAAGTGAAAAATCAGTACTGCATTTGAGAGCAATCATTCTGGCCACCATGTGATTGGACTGGGGCCAGGCAACAGTAAGGTAGTAGAGATATGGTCAAATGGCTATCCAGAAGAGTTGTGATGGTAGTTGGGAACCGGACTGTGGTGTTTGCTCAGAGACCACCAGAAGTGATTAAAAAGATGCAGGTCACAGTAGGGTGAGGGGGAGTGGAGAATAGGGTTTTCTGGCTGGCATGATTGAGCATTACCATTGCTAACACTGGAATCCACGTGCCAGATATGTGCCAACCACTTGCCACCTAACCACAAACCTGTAGGTGATAAAGCTTCGTTTCACACCAGATTCAGGGTTTATGGCAAGTGACACAACTAAACTCATATCCTTTTGACTAAGTAAAAATTTGCATGTGTAAAGTGGCTGGCACATAGTAAAAGCACTGATACTCTCCTGTCCTTTCTCTTCAATCACCTATCACTCCATTATTCCTTTTTTAAAAAAAGACTTATTTATTTGAAAGGCAGAATTAGAGAGAGGCAGAGGCAGCCAAAGAGAGATAGAGAGCGAGGGAGTGAGAGAATGAATGAAAGTTTTCCATCTGCTGGTTCACTTCCCAGATGGCCGCAAAGGCCTGAGCTGTACCAATCTGAAGCCAGGAGACAGGAGTGTCCTCCTGGTCTCCCATGTAGGTGCAGAGGCCCAAGTACCTGGGCCATCCTCTACTGCTTCCCCAGGCCAAAGCAGAGAGAGAGCTGGATCAAAAGTGGAGCAGCCAGGACTCAAATTGGTGCCCATATGGGATGCCGGCACTGTAGGTGGCAGCATTACCTGCTACATCACAGTGCTGGCCCCAGCCCTCCATTATTTCTTGACCTTGGTAGTGTGTACAATGAGTTTATTCCTTAGTATTTCTAGTTAATGTATAAACTTTTTAAAAAGTTTTATTTATTTATTTTGAAAGTCTGAGTTGCACAGAGAGGAGAGGCAGAGAGGTCTTCCATCCATCGGTTCACTCCCCAGATGGTCGCCTGAGCTCTACCAATCCAAAGCCAGGAGCCAGGAGCTTCTTCTGGGTCTCCCAAGCCAGTGCAGGGGCCCAAGGACTTGGGCCATCTTCTACTGCTTTCCCAGGCCATAGCAGAGAGCTGGTTCGGAAGTGGAGCAGCCAGGACTAGAACCAGCGCCTATATGGAATGCTGGCACTGCAGGTGGTGGCTTTACCCACTATGCCACAGTGCTGGCCCCTAGAACCCTGGTTTTAAATGGGTACTTGTTTCCAGGCTACTATAAGAAAAATCCTCACATTATGATTGGAACAGACCTGCCAGAGGCACTTCAGCGGGTGGTTGTTCTCTATTACCCTGTAGCTGGGTAAATACCAAACCACCCTTCTTCTAAACTCAGGCCAGGGACTAGAGATTAGGATGAGGGGGCTCAGAAGCAATTTTAGCCCAACCGGATTAATGCCAAGCAACAGGCCTGATGCTGCTAACACAAACATGCCCTTCTCTCTGGCAGGAGGCAACACCATATCATGGCTCAAAATCATTCAGAAGTGATGCATTACAAGACCAAACTTAGGGGCTGTCATCATGGCAGTGAGTAAAGCAGCTGCCTGTACTGTTGGCATCCCACATGGGCACTGGTTCGTGTCCTGCTCCACTTGTGATCCAGCTCCCTGCCAATGGCCCAAGTGTCTGGGTACCTGCAGCCACGTCAGAGACCCAGACAAAGCTCCTGGCTTCAATCTAGTTCAGCCCTGGCTATTGTGGCCAACTGGGAGTGAACCAGCAGAGATGGAAGATCTCTCACTCTATCTCTCCCTCTTTCTCTGTAGCTCTTTCAAATAAAATAAATCTTAAAAAAAAATAAAGACCTAATTCAGGAAGTAAAATCTGATTCACAATTTACAGCTTGCTACCTTTTTAAAAATTTACTATGTAAAGATCAAAGAGCCAAAGACAACCTGTACATAGATTTTCTCCAACCAATAGCAAGGAAGAACATATCGTTGATATCTAAGCAGTCTATGGAAGGTCCAATAATACGTTCTATTCACTGGGCCTTACTGAGTAAGGATTTAGTTAACAAGCAAAGCCCACAATAGTTCCAGCCTACCCTCTAGCAGGCCCTGCTTAATTAATAAGTATGGTAATTGTGTGAAGAGAATAAAATATATTTGAGAGTTTAGGCCAGAAAGCTGAAGCCACTCTATTATACCACAAGGGGGCAATGTTTGACCATTAGGTATCTGAGGGTAGGAGGCTTGGCTGACTGCTGTTTCTTTGTAATACAGCCCTATGAGGACTGCAACCTGGGCAAGGAAAGGTGGGATTTAGCTGCCTCTGCCTCCTCTCTGTGCAATCCTGCAGGGGTTGGTGCTAACTTTCCTAATATTGACAGCATGGCTGTGAGGGACCAAGGGCAGAGGAAACAAGGCAGCAGAGAAAGCAAACGGCTGGTTTTTACCACACCTAGGAGGGCCTGCCAGGCAGATGTGCTGGTGGGAATCTTCACCTGGAATTTTTTTTTTTTTTAAGATTTATTTATTTATTTGAAAGTCAGAGTTACACAGAGAGAGAAGAGGCAGAGAGAGAGAGGTCTTCCATCCAATGGTTCACTCCCCAATTGGCCGCAATGGCCGGAGCTGTGACGATCTGAAGCCAGGAGCCAGGAGCTTCCTCTAGGTCTCCCACACGGGCGCAGGGGCCTAAGGACTTGGGGCCATCTTCCACTGCCCTCCCAGGCCACAGCAGAGAGCTGGATTGGAAGTGGAGCAGCCAGGTCTCGAACCGGCGCCCATATGGGATGCTAGCACTCAGGCCAGGGCATTAATCCACTGTGCCACCGCGCTGGCCCCTTCACCTGGAATTTATCTGTGCACATATAGGGCAGTAGTCCTCAAACTTTAGTGGGCATCAGAATCATGTCAGAGCATGCTGAAGTAAATTGCCAGACTCTCACTACAATTTCCAATTCAGAAAACCTAAAGTAGGGTCCCATAATTTGCATTTCAAACAAGTTCTCAGGTGATGCTGTTGCTGCAGACTTGAAGCTGGCTTTGAGGACCACTGCTGCAGGGTATTCTGGCTCTGTGCCCTTCTCTCTTATCACTCCATTTTTTATTTCCTGCCATTCATCTACTGCTTTATTTCCTCTCCAACCCTCCTTTAAGAACACTAAGAGGGGCTGGCACAGTGGCATAGCAGGTAAAAGCCACTGCCTGCAGTGCTGGCATCCCAGCTGCTCCACTTCCTATCCAGCTCTCTGCTATGGCCTGGGAAAGCAGTGGAAGATGGCCCAGGTCCTTGGGCTCCTGCACCTGCATGGAAGACCCAGAAGCTCCTGCCTTTGGATAGGTGCAGCTCTGGCCATTGTGGCCAATTGGGGAGTGAGCCAGCAGATGGAAGACCTCTGCCTCTCCTCTGTATAACCCTACTTTCAAATAAATAAATCTAAAAAAAAAAAAAGAAAAAAAAAAAAAAAAAAGGCTGGCACCACGGCTCACTAGGCTAATCCTCTGCCTGCGGCACTGGCACCCCAGGTTCTAGTCCCAGTTGCTTCTCTTCCAGTCCAGCTCTCTGCTGTGGCCCGGGAGTGCAGTGGAGGATGGCCCAAGTGCTTGGGCCCTGCACCAGCATGGGAGACCAGGAGGAAGCACCTAGCTCCTGGCTTCGGATGGGCGCAGCGCAACGGCCATAGCAGCCATTTGGAGGGTGAACCAACAGAAGGAAGACCTTTCTCTCTGTCTCTAACTCTGCCTGTCTGTATCTCTTGCGTTTATGAAATTAACAAAAAAAAAGATAAAATAAAAAGAAAAGAAAACTAAGTCAGAAAGCAGGAATGCACACTGGGTTACACTGATCTTAAGAATTCTTTTGGGCAAGGATTCCAAAACTCTAGTTGCATTGACAAATGTTTCAGAAGCAGAGTTTATTCCAAATACAGGCTTCCCCTCTTTTTAAGATTTTTTACTTTTTAGATTTTCTTTACTTGAAAGGCAGAGTTAGAGATGGAGAGGGAGAGATTTTCCATCTACTGGTACACTCCCCAAATGGCTGTAACAGCCGGGCTGGGCCAGGTGGAAGCCAGGAGCTTCATCTGGGTCTCACAAGTGGGTGCAGGGGCCCAAGCACTTGGGCCATCTTCTGCTGCTTTCCCAGGTGCATTAGCAGGGGAGCTGGGTCAGACAGAAGTAGAGCAGCCCAGGGCTCAAACCAGCGTCTTTAGGCTCCTTCTGTTTATTAACAGATTGCCTAATTGCTTAGGCCCCTGCACCCATGTGGGAGACCCAGAAGCTCCTGGATTTGGACTGGCCCAACCTTGACTGTTGTGGCCTTTTGGGAAGTGAACCAGCAAATGGAACATCTCTGTCTCTCCCTCTCTGTAATTCTTCTTTTCAAATAAAAATGAAACAGAGACAGAGAAATCTTCGATTATCACCGATTCACTCCCCAGATGACCATAACAGCCAGGGCTGGATGAGGCCAAACCCAGGAGCCTGGAACTCCATCTGAGTCTCCCACGTGGATGGCAGGTACCCAAATACTTGAGCCATCATCTGCTGCCTTTCCAGGGTGTGCACTAACAAGAAGCTGGACTGAAAATGAAGCTGGGACTTGAACCAGGCAGTTGGGAATGGGATGTGAATATCCTGGGCAGCAACTTCACTGTTGCACTAAATACCTTCCCCGCCCCTCCTAGACCCCCCAAAAAGTTTTTATTGTAGTAAAATATTCATAACAAAATTTACCACTTTAACCATTTATGTGTAGAGGTCACTGGCATTAAATTCACATTTCTGTACGATTACCCACACCATCTATCTTCAGAACTTTTTCATCTTTGCAAACTGCAGCTTTTATGCCTACTAAACAGCAAGTCCTCATTGCCCCTCCACTAGCCTGGCCACCACCAGTCTGTTCCCAAGCTGCTTGCACTCGTTCCACTTTCACTTGATAAAAAACAGGGTCCACTGCAGATGGAGGGATTGCTGCTACATAGGCAAGCCTTCTTGTGTGGGGGTGACTGAGTTTATTGTAGATAAAGGTAAGAGAAAATGGGGTTTGAGAAAGGTGAGACATGGAGGCACAAATTGCATGAAGGGTTCATCCTGGGCCTTCTGGCCACAAGCCTCAGCAGCCCTGCCATGGATCCGCTCGATTCTTTCGCATCAAGAAGTTGATCTTTCGAGTCATTTCCATGTTATAGATGCGCCTGCAGGTTTCATAACTTTCCCGCTGTCGCCGGCGGCAAGGCTTCTCATAGTATCGCCGTCGCTTAATGTCCTCAATGAGCCCGTCCATAGTGAGGATCCTGTATAAAGGGAGGCAACGAAGTTAGAAGCTTGGGTTCTCAGTTTCACAGATGGTCAGAAGCCAATGGACCAAACAACTGCTTATAATTAGTGGGAAATGATGGCAATATAGCATTAACTGCCTACTTAGAGTGGTCCCAACAATAATTTGTGGGGAAATTAAAAAGCAACTACATGTCCTAGTCCTTGGAGAGTTTATAGTCAAGGTCAGGTTCTCCAACTTTTATCTTTCACAACACACCTCAAGGATATGACAAAGCCCCATAAGGAGACTAGCTACCTACAACAGTAAAGCTCACCCAAGGGGGCATTTCAAACCAGGGGAGCAATTGGTAGGAGGGAAAGAACCATCAGGGGTGAGTCCTATTGTATGTAAGAACTGACACAGTTGAAGTCTGGGTCTGAGAACAATCCCTGGGCCTTCCTATGTACAGGGAAGAAGTGGTCCTCGTTGCACCAGTGATAGAAATGACAGCATTCACAGCCTCAACCAGCACTTCCCCGCGTAACAGATGCTCCAAGCCCACGACTTTGCTGACGATTCCCTGAACACAATTCTAGACTCGTGTTGCTTCCTCAGACTAGATTACCATTGAGCCCTGTAGCAGTCAACATTTTGACTGACATTTTTCTGGATTTTGAAGCCCAGATGCCACCTCTTGGCTATGGTTTTCCATGTTCTTAGAGAAATGATTTAATTACTTCATCTTGCCATTCCATTAGTTATTTATTTATTAAAAGGCAGAAAGACTGAGAGACAGAGACACACACACATACACTGAGTTGACTCCCCTGTTCCACTCCTCAGATGCCCCCCACTGCTAGGGCTGGGCTGTGGATCGCAGCTCAGGTCTCCCATGTGGGTGGCAAGAAGCCAGTTACTTGAACCAACATGGCTGCCTTCCAGGGTCTGTAACGGCAGGAAGCTAGTCAGAAGCCAGAGTCAGGAATTGAACCCAGGCACTCCAATCTGGGATGCAGATATCCTAACTGCTAGGCTAAATGCCTGCCCCCTCCCATGAGTTATTTATACAAGTGCCTCCCTCACTGGACTAAATCTGACAGCAGGAGCCATATTTTGTTAAATTTTTGTAAAGATTTATTTATTTAAAGAGTTACACACAGAGAGGAGAAGCAGAGAGAAAGAGAGAGAAGTCCTCCATCCAATGGTTCACTCCTCAATTGGCCGCAACAGCTGGAGCTGCACCAATCTGAAGTCAGGAGCCAGGAGCTTCTTCTGGGTCTCCCACACAGGTGCAGGGGCCCAAGGACTTGGGCCATCTTCCACTGCTTCCCCAGGCCATAGCAGAGAGCTGGATGGGTGTGGGGAGCAACTGGGACTAGACTGTTACTCGAATTAAGACTTATTTTATGCATCTGCTCTCCCACAATATGGCGCTGGGAGAGGAGGAAACAGCTTCTACACAGCTGCCTCTAGTTGAACCAATAAACAGCAGGAGCTGCTCCTGATTGGAGGAGAGCAGCGTACTCGGCATGTGGGTAGCAGAGTTGGGATTGGTGGAAGAGGACTATAAAGGAGGAGAGAGACAACATGCACCAGGAACATCTATCTGAAGGAACACCTGTGCAGCCCCCGAGAGAGCTGGCCGGCGGTGTGCTGCTCCCCCGCGGAAGTGGGGAAAGTGGCAGGGGGAACCGCCCTTCCACGGAGGTGGAAGGACGGTAGCTAACCCGGGAAGAACCAGCAGCAAACCCGGGGAGGGCCGAGCAGACAAAAGAACAGCGCAGGGTCCTGTGTCGTTCCTCCACGAAGAGGGGGAGCGACAGATGGGAAGTGGAGCAGCCAGGTTTCGAACCAGCACCCATATGGGATGCTGGCACTGTAGGCAGTGGCTTTATACACTATGTCACAATGCCAGCCCCAATATTTTATCAATTTTATAAATGCCCATAAAATTGAGCCCAATAAATGTCTTTTTGTAAAAAAAAAATTATTTATTTGAAAGGCAGAGTGAGTGAGAAAGGGAGACCATCTGCTGGTTTATTCCCCAAATAATCACAATGGGTTGATTGGGCCAGGCTGAAGCCAAGAGTCAGGAACTATATCTGGGTCTCCCACATGGGTAGTAGGAGCCCAAACACTTGGGCCATCCTCTGTTTCTTTCCCAGGTTCAGAAGCTGGATTGGAAGTAGAGTTTCTGGAATTTGAACCAGCATCCATAAGAGTTGCTGGCCTCATAGGCAGAAGCTTAACCTGCTGGGTCTCAACACCAGCCCCAAGCCCAGTCTATTTCTTACTTGCCCACTCAATTCCTTTCAATGCAGTTTTCCATGTTGGTAACTCCCCTAATTCAAACTCACCTCTCTGTTCTCACTGAACCAAGAAGATACTGGGCCTTACTCTATAACCAGCACAATTCTTTGGTTTCTGAGAGTGCTGATGCCAACTTGTAATTTGTATTTCACTCTGAATCTCTCATCACTTGGTCATGAGGTACCTTCTGCTACCACGCTCATTCCTGGCATAGTTTATAAGGCCTCATTCCTGCTCACCCTGTTCTTCCATTACATGCAAAAAGCTGTCACAAGCACAGTTGGAGATAAGGAGGTTGGGGCATGGCTGCAATTGGAAGAAGGGGGACAAAGGAAGAAATAAACAAGAAAAGCTGCCAGCTACTTCTGTACAGTGAGAAGTCTGGATTTTTGCTGCTGTATTACACCAAAATAAATAAATAAATAAATGAATAAATAAATAAATGAAATCCAAGGTAACATAGACTGAGATGAACTTGAAAAGAATTGGGCTTAGGGGCATTTACAAATGTACCTATAGGATCCTCTTTCGGCTCCTTCTATTTAATAACAAGAATGATGTGTAAGCTGCTAGAGGATATTTGTAGAGGTCAGTTTGTTTAGGTTCTAATAGCTGGGAGATAGGAGGCAAGGGGATTACTGCCAACTCCCAGAACAGGAAAAGCAGATGAATGGAAGTCCTGTTGGAAAAGTCAAGTCATGTGGGTGCACAATATTAGTGTAACAACGAGAAACAGGGCACCAAACACCAAAAAGCTCAATATCCTTATCCTGGGTCCAGTATCATGGCACTGCTGTTTGTGATGCCAGTATTCTGTATCAGAGGGCTGGTTTGAGTCCTAACTGCTCTGCTTCAGATCCAACTTTCTGCTAATGCGCCTGGGAAGGCTAGAGGTGATGGCCCAAGTACCTAGACTCCTGCCATTCCTGTGGGAGACAAGGATGAAGGTCCTGGCTCCTGGCTTCAGCCTAACCCAGCCCTGGCTGTTGTGGCCATTTGGAGAGTAGACCAGCAGATGAAAGATCTCTCTCTGCTTTTCAAATCAATTAATCAATCAATCTTAAAAAAAAAAAAAAAAGACTCATACTCCTAGCCCACAAGGGTTGTCCTTCATCAGCTTTCTTCTTCAATTTATTTAGAGATTTATTTATTTATTTATTTGAAAGGCAGTGTTACAGAGAAGGAGAGACAGATCTTCCATTTGCTGGTTCACTCACCAAATGGCCACAACAGCTGGAGCTGGGCTGGTCCAAAGCCAGGAGCTTCATCTGGATCTCCCACATGGTGCAAGGGCTCAAGCACTTGGGCCACCCTCTGCTGCTTTCCCAGGCACATCAGCAGGGAGCTGCATCGGAAGTAGAGCAGCTGGTCTTGAACCAGTGCCCATATGAGATACCAGTGTCACTGGCGGTGGCTTTATCTGCTTGCCACAATAACGACCCCTTCTCAATCTGCCTTTAAATTTTGGAATCCTGCCGGATTCCTTTAACCTTTATCAGTAGGTCTCAACTCTGATGCACAATGAAATCATCTCCTAGACAGTTTTTAATGGGTACTGATGCCTAGCTCCTACTCCTCATAGATTGGTTTAATTGGTCTAGAGAGTATTCATGCATGTCTGAAGAGTTTTCCAGGGGTAGGCTTGGTGGTGCAGTAGGTTAAACTGCTGCTTATGAAACCTATATCCCATGTCAGAGTGCCAGTTCGATTTCAGCTAACTCTGCTTCCAATCCAGCTTCCTGATAATGTGTCTGGAAGGGCAGCAGATGATGATTCAAGTACTCAGGTCCCTGCCACCCACATTGGAGACCTAGATGGAGAGTCAGACTCCTGGCTTTGGCCCTTACTTAGCCCCTACTGTTGTGGGCATTTGGGGTGTGATCCAGCATAAGGAAGATCTCATTCCTTGTCACTCTTCAAGTGAAACCAATTTATCCTCCCCTCCATTCTCAAAACTCAGTAGCCCCCAGGAAAGTCTGTTAAAACACAGACTGCACTGCAATTCCAGTTTCTGATTCTGTAGATCTATAGTAGTGGTTCAAGAATTTTCATTTCTAGGGGCTGGCGCTGTGGCACAGCGGGTTAAAGCCCTGGCCTGAAGCGCTGGCATCCCATATGGGCACTGGTTCTAGTCCTGGCTGCTCTTCTTCCGATCCAGTTCTCTGCTATGGCCTGGGAAAGCAGTAGAAGATGACCCAAGTCCTTGGGCCCTTTCACCCGTGTGGGAGACCCAGAAGAAGCTCCTGGCTCCTGGCTTCGGATCAGTGCAGCACCAGCTGGGGAGTGAACCAGTGCATGAAAGACCTCTCTCTCTGTCTCTACCTCTCTCTGTAACTCTGTCTTTCAAATAAATAAAATAAATCTTTCAAAAAAAAAAAATTTTCATTTCTGGGGCTAACGTTGGTAGTACAGCAGGTTAAGCTGCCACCTGCAATGCTGGCATCCCATATAAGCACTGGTTCAAGTCCTAGCTGCTCCACTTTCAATCCAGCTCCCTATTAACACACTTGAAAAAGCAGTAGAAGATGCCCAAGTACTTGGGTCCCTGTCATCCACAATGGGAGACCTCAATGGAGTTCCTAGCTACTGGCTTCAGCCTAGCCCAGCCCTAGTCCTTGTGGCCATTTAGGGACTAAACCAATGGACGGGAACATCTCCCTCTCTGTCTCTCTGCCATGTATCTATATCTAAATAATACATATATAAATAAACACATAATATACA